GCCACATTTTGAAGAGAGGAATAATACATCAACCATAAAGAAATAACATGCAAAAAGGAGAAATATACTGAGAGAGAGAAGTTAGCAATGTGACAGTTGCAAACTGAATATTGCAGCGGGAAATTTATGAAATAAATCATAGGATGAAACCATAGGCACGTGATGGAATATCTTCAGAACATAGACAAAAAAAAATAATTTACTATCGAAAAAAAAAATAGAAAAAACAAAAAACAAAAAAAAGTCCAAAGAATGGAATAGTGCTATTTACGCAGATGTAGAAGAATTTCAAAATTCCTCCCCCCACAAAAAAAAAGTTTGGTAATATAGGAGATAAAAAAAGAAACAGAAACATGGAAAAATAAAATCATCAATGCAAACAGTGATTTAGTGATTTCATTCAAAACCATTTAAATGGTGATAGTGTTTAAATAAAAAAGGAAAATTAAATTGTTACATTATGTAAAGAAATAAATTAGAACGCAAAAAAAATCACACCTATTTATTCTCACCACACACATGCATATTATATATATATATATATATATATATATATATATAGAGAGAGAGAGAGAGAGAGAGAGAGAGAGAGAGAGAGAGAGAGAGAAAGAGGTAAAATGAGAACGAGTACAGTACAATTCCAACTTTCGTAACATTTAAATTAAAAGACGGCTCAATACAGAGTAGAGTGATATTCTTAATTTTAGGATATTACGTCGAAAAACATGTCAAAATCCCTACACAATTGCAGTTGAGTTTCGATGCGTATCAATGCATCTCATCGGATGAGTAACAATTACTGGCGAATGAAGATTTATTTTGTTTTAAAAGCAAAATACAACCTCTTTTTATGAAAAATAAAGAAAAAATATAAAATAAATGATTAAAAAAAAAAAAAAAGAGTACATATATATATATATATATATATATATATATATATATCTTAAGGCGTGCTATATTTATGGGATAAAGTGCTCCATATCAGAGATAGAGCGTATGTAAATATAAAAGTGAACATTGAATTCAACACTTAGAGGAGACAGGCTGTTTCATTCTAGATGCAATCGTCAGACCGATTGCGTCTAGCATGAAAAAACACCCTGCCACCTCTAAGTGTTGACTTTAAAGTTCATATATATATATATATATATATATATATATATATATATATATATATATATATATATATATATATATACTGTGTAGGAGAAATACGTTTACAAATTGTGGTGGGGGGTTTCTAACAGAGAACCAAGTACAAGAGTCCATATGAAAATATGTCCGCAAATAATTCTTTTTTGAGTTATTAAGCTCAAAGTTTACGGTAGACGCTGTTAAAAGTACAATCCAAGATACAATAATAACCGACATTGGGAGCGGGTTCCTGACACGAAAACAAGGTAAAATTTCCATACAAAAATAACGTCCAAAAGGCTATCTTTATGCCTCAATGCAACAATTCATAGAAATATTCAAAATTAGCAGTAGAGCCCGGCGTTGCCCGGGGATATAACAGTAAGAGATAGATCAAGTATCGACCATCATAAAGACTGAAAAATAAAATTGACAAAGATTATTGTTTAAGGTTGACGGACATGCATGTCTTAATTTTTTTTTTTTTTTACGAATTGGTCAAACCCAAACTGTGAAAAAACATTGTTTACAATCGTTATGAGTCTACCGATTGAATAGAATTTTATTATAAACAATTGTCTTGTAAATGTAATTTTTAAAGCATTCTGAATGTAAACATAAAGAAAAAAGTGTGCAAGACAATAAGAAACACTACCTGCCCCAACCAAACAAAGTGAAGTTTTGTTGAAATCGGTTGAAAAATCTCGGTAGCCTTTCTGTAATCCTTTACAATTTATGATTTTTACTTATTGAATACAGTAAAAAAATTGCATATTTTGCTTGTGGTGATTCATAATTAGAATTCTGATTTGAATATATTTTCCACTCGTTGTTTCTAATACAAAAATATTAACTTTATTTGGGTTTATTAATTATATGGCACCATTTACCAAGGCAAAAAAAGAAAAGAAAGCAAAGAGAGGAAGGAAAGAAAAGGAAAGAGAGGCGAGACCCAAACGTGGATGATAAGTAGGACACCCACGACTAAGAGACAATGGATAAAGGATATTTTGATAAGTAACAAATGGCGAAGAGTGTCAATATAATTGCAGGGAAATTCTGAGTGGATGGGGGAATCGTTGTGTTCTGGCGACGAGCTGTGTTATCGGGGATACATAAACAAACCGCTAATGCGGGAAAACATCTGATTAATCAAACCACAGACGGACTAGCCAAAGAAAAATCCAATTGGAAATTTTATTTTGATAATTGACAAAAAACAGGTGAACTACAGGGCTTTGGATAGATATGAAAAAATAATTGTATCAAAGCCGCACACGAGGTGGCGACTGACCGTTTTGTTTCGACAGAACACTTTTTAGCTGTGATAACAAACTATGTTATCAGTAATGTTCACCAAAGAGTGACTGGAACCATAGAAATGTTTCTTTTCGAGGCGACGGTCTGGCCGTGTTAAATAGACCACCCATTCTGATAATTAGCGATAATCTGACTGACGATGTCCAGATGAGACCGGGGTAAAATAATTTTTTTTTGAGCGAGATATATTTTTTTCCTGAAACAAAGCCCGCGGGATCGTACACGCCCGGCTGGTGGTGATCACGTGACGCAAGGAGGAAGCTGTCACCGCCCATTTAGAGGATGGGTATGAGAGGTCGCCACGAGGAAGTGGGAGGACAGCCGACCCCGAAAGCATGGTGAGAAGGTGGGAGTAAAGAAGACTCCCCCAAAATGGAAAAAGTGGAAAATTCCTAACCAAAAATAAAAGAAGTGGATAGGTATTTAGAATTATCGAGGAACCCCCGGCGCCGACAAACCCACCCCGGTTTTTGTCGGCGTCCATATAAACTGAAGTCGCAGCGAGCGAAAATCAGTTCAACAGAGAGTTCAGAGTTGAGTTCGGGAGAGACAGTTCCCAGAGTCAGTCTCCAGTGCTCAGTTGAAGCAAGCCTCGCATCGGCTGACCAAGATTCGCGCAATTTCGGACTCATCTTCAATCCAAGAACAATTATTTTGAAGAGCGACTTAGATCCAGACCACCAAAATAAGTTTTTTTCGATTTTTGCCCGAAGACACACCAAAAAATAAAACAATTTCTTAAAGAGCAAACAACTTGAAATTATTAAAAAACTCGCCTAACGGAAAACAACGTGTCACAATCCATAGAACGGGTCGGGAGATAGGCGCAGTCCTATGTATCCAACAACTAGACATAAAGTTTGTTATCCTTTTCTTTGATACCTTGAACTTTTGAGTTATCATTTTATTTCTTTTATACGTATTTGTGCGATAACACCCCCGCTTGGACCCAGCTTGCATTGCGGCCCCAACGACTGATTGATTTCGTCTGCCTAAGATCGATTCACAACGTGGGTATGAGGACTGGAGATCAACGCAGTTACTTTGGTAACCAGGCGTTGGAAGCGAGTTGGGAACGACGAGGCTGATATCGAATCTAACCAGATTCCCATCCGAATCACCAAAAGGTTAGAACGTCACATTTGGGTGCCGCGACCGATACCAAGCCAGTTGGTCGTCACAGGAAGAGAAAACACGACTGACGCGACAGGCGGACGTCACGTTTGGAGCGGCGACACCCGAACGAAGCAGCGAGGAACGAGCGAAGGCTGTGTTCAGGGACGTCACAATTATGATCTAGTAAATCTTATTCATTTAGTAGCCTTTCTGTAATCTTTTAGAATTTATGATTTTTACTTATTGAATACAGTAAAAAAAATTGGACACCATGTGTATTTAAAGTTGTTTCCGGTAATTATTTTTAGGTAGGAGTACTTGTGTATGTTTAGATTTCATTTGTTTACTTTTTGTGTATCGTTCTCTGAAAAAAATATGCTGAGTCACCGGAAGTTAACGAGGTTCGGACGTTTGAGTAGTCGGCAGTAACTTCCGGCCGGGTGCGATACACTTAACCGTGCTTTCAAATTGATTTCGTGCAAAAACAATTGTGTTTTTCCAATTTTTGGCGCTGTTAAAACCACCGCAAGGTAATTTTACGTAGTCCTGTGAAGTTTTGTTGAAATCGGTGGAAAATGTAGGAAATCCGATCCAATATATAAACGTACGCACACACACACACACACACACACACACACACAATCTGAGTTTTATAATAAGTAAGATGTTCCTCGCTTTATTCTACACACCAATACATCATGGCGGAACCTTTCAAATACTTCCACATGATGTCGATGTAGTGTCGCTGCGTTATTAATTTCTGCTGCATAAACCATTTGTTTATGTTTCCCCACAAAAAAAAAAAAAAAAATAACAATTCCAAGGTCTGTGCTCAGGGTAACGTACAGACCATGAAATCGTTCAACTAACTAACTAACCACCTTTCATGGACCTCATTTGGACTTTTCTCGTTCTTTTGACATGAGGACCCCGCCTCAACAAAATTTGTAAAAGTATTTTTGATACGCCATGTGTATAGAGACAAATCTCTCATCAATGGACTAATAGGAGGGGGGCGGGTAGTCCGTTAAATCTAAATGTCGGTAGATAGGGAAAGATTATTTTTGAGTTATAAAACCACAATAGTAACTGCCAATCGTTGTGATCATAATAAAAGTACTATAAATATGTATATATGACAAATAAATATATATTAATATCGATATATTAATCAAAATAAAAGAGTTCTTCCAGAGCTAATTTATCGTACTTTATATACTGTACACCTGTCTTTGTTTCCAGTTGAAAGGGCCACCACAACCGTCAAGCGGTCACTTTCAGAAATAATATGACTTATTCCGTTAAACCTGCAAATTTTGTAATACATGGCTGACGATTTGTAAGTTTTTTGTTTTTTTTCCTGCAGATTTTTTTTTATTTTGGCTGCAGATTTTGTCCGTTGCACCCGGTCTGTTGATGGGGGTCCGTAGATGAGACGTTTTTCTGCATCTATCTATCTATCTATCTATCTATGTCTGTCTGTCTGTCTGTCTCTCTCTCTCTCTCTCTATATATATATATATATATATATATATATAAACCGGATTTGTAGGTGGCATAATATTTAGAAGAGTTTGAATTGCATCTGATTTCGTTATATTCCCTTTCGCGCAAATAGCATTGGGAAAGGTATGAATGCGTCACCCCACCCCACCCCATATATCACTTAAATAACATAAGCAAGCTGTGACTTTTAGCGGTGTTAGCAACAAATCAAGCAGAAAGATAATAATTAATTCAAAACCGATTGTCGCCCTGTTATAGCAAATATTATGTTGTCATCAACAAACCAATTCATTCAATAATCTCGAACGCCGACGACATACAACTTCGTCGATAGAGTATTGTTACTATTAATATTATTATTCTTTCAATACAGTGTGTTACATACAAGCGTGTAATAGTAATGATTGTTCATCTTATCAGAAATAACGCCATCTCTTCATTGATCATAACATTCCAGACCACGCTCAGTCTTCTAATTGTTTGAAGATATAATATTTGATATTAGATACGTAGATGCACAATCATATATATATGCACTCATATATATATATATATATATATATATATAGGGCGGTTCGAAAGGTTTATCTCCCCCTACCAAAAAGTAATAAGAACAATAGAAGAACAAAGTAATTCACTAATACAAAGAATTTGTACTGGATTCAGTTTATTCACTTTCATTGACGCTATTGTAAACCTTGAACGTCTTTATGTACACCATCATTTTCGTGCCACAAAATCATGCGGCAGCATATCCTGTGTGTTGTTTTATGAATCTCTGCTTTGTTGAGTGTTGAAAAGGCTATTTAAACGGCATCCTTCAACTGACGGGTATTCTGTTATCGTTCATGTGAATCTCTCTCTTCTTTATAATACGTCACAGATCGTTGAAAGAAAATTATACTATGTACGAGTGACAAGACTTTCGGAAAACCCCGTACACACAAACACACACACTCGTGTCTGTGTGTCTTTGCGTGTGTGTGTGTGTGTGTCTCTGTGTGTGTGTGAGTTTTACTGAATACATATTACATCCAACGTGGACTCGAAGTTTCATGCACTTGTTGCAATTTTCAGGTGTAAATAAAATCTGACCGTTAATTCGCGTCCAAGTGGTGATGATTCAAAGTTTGTGTCAAAATTGGTTTATTTAATTAATGCTGCCTAAAATATTAGAATTAACTAATAATTTATATAATTTTAATACATTAGTGCTAAAGGCGAAAAAACAAAAAAATTAAGTCAATAAAATGAAAAAAATAAATTATTTGAATTTAAATTTGGTGCGAGTATGTATGTCTTTTATCACACTATATATATATATATATATATATATATATATATATATATATATATTTATATATATATATATATATATATATATATATATATAATACTATATATATATATATATATATATATTGGGAAGAGAGAAGTGTGAATTTGAACACAGCATAACCCATTATATCACAGAATCTCTTTTTCTTTTCCTTCTTCGTATATTCAGTGTTTTTTGCTTATTTTCATTGTAACTTTTGGGCGTTTTATCCTGTCAATGCATTGCAGGATTTTGAAAAATATGCCCCACCTTTCGATATACTCATTCAACTTACATGTTTTTTTTGTTTTTTTTCTGGTATACTTAGATTTCCTTCATTCACTTAATTCTTTTGTCTTCATTTCTTGCTGTTTAATGCTAAAGCGAAATTTTCAGTCCTGAAGATTGCGTTTAAGCTTGAAAGACTGTCACCTCTGGGTGTTGACTTCAATATTCACATTGGGTTTGTTTTCTCAGTCTTGTTTAGGTGCATAATTATCAGGCGTTTTTGTAGGGAAGTTAGTTGTTAATATAAATTGCTGTTTTGTTTAATTTTTTTTTAAATAAAAGTATTACTTTAGTTTCATATTATAAAAATGCGTGTCGATAATCATACACTCCGGAATACTCATTTAAAAACTTTAATATTGAATTGTTCTGTTTTTTTTTTCATAATAAGTATTGTTTAAAAAACGCCTGATAATTACGCACCAACCAGACACACAGACATATATCTATATATATATCTATATCTATCTATCTATATATATATATATATATATATATGTGTGTGTGTGTGTGTGTGTGTGTGTGTGTGTGTGTGTGTGTGTGTGTGTGTGTATGTATATTTAAACAGCATATCTTAATTCCAGCATGATTGCTTGAATAATCTAGACATATTATATTATTTATTTTTCTTTTAATCCTCTCAAATTCACAGATCATTTTCTTTGTGCTGTTACAAAAATGAGTAAGAAAGCTTCCTTATTTGGTTATTTCTTTTGTCTTTCAACTCATATAAAATCACACACACACACATATATATATATATATATGTGTGTGTGTGTGTGTGTGTGTGAAGAAAAAAAATTATAGAGCCATTTGGTTAATACTTCCGGGTCAGCGATCACTGAACATTTGATAAATTGCAGGGATTGTGCGAAGAATTTTAGTCCGAATTGGTTTACTGTACTGTCCAGTTCGCACTCTCCATTTCATTTGAGGGCACTTGAGTCTTTGTATATTCGGTCCAGGGAGCCGTCTCTTTGCAAGCAAAGAGACTGTCTCCTCGGGCTTCACGTTATTACACTCTAGTGTCTATCATAATTTCCCCTCACACTCCCTGTAATAATTTTTTTTTTCCCCTTTTCACTGTGCATATTCGCACGGTCTAAAATAAAAAAATATATATACATATATATATATTTTTTTCTTTGTTTTTTTTCCCTTCATACCATTAATCTTTTCATTTTTAAAGTTTTAATTGTATGTAGGATTTGTGAGTGAGTCAATTTATATTGCAATAATTTTGAAATTGTTCCCAGTCGACCCTGATGAGCTTGGGAACGAAAAACCGGTTGGTCTGTTTTTGAAAGTGTTATCATCTCTTATTTTTATTTTTCATTTTCATAATGCCATTAAGAAATAATTCGTATTTATTCCTTGCAATATATATATATATATAACGTACACATGGGGTGTCAAAAAATTGACAACAATTAAATTAAGAATATCTGTGTTACTATATATCAGAAGGGAACGAAATTCAGTTGCCTTCATATAGAACTATAGAAGATGCATTTATCAAAATTCGAACAAAATATTTAAAGGGATGCAGATTTTTTAACAGATTTCACAAAGCTTCAAAATATTCCATATGCGCACCGCCTGTGACACGACACTCGTGAAATCGGGAGTCCAGCCTCTAGTAAACACGCTTTAGTATGTCTTGCACAACATTTTCCAGCGTCTCAGTGATTCTCCGTTAGGTTTTGTAGGAAGAGAAAATTGAACTGTCCTTTCAAATAGACCCACAAGTAAAAATCAGAAGTTGTCAAGTCACGTGACGTGGTTGCCATTTTAACAATATATTGTCATTATCACTGGAAAACACGATCCATATTCCTGGTAGATTCCTAGTGATATATGTCAGCACAGTCAACAGTTAGTTTTTATACATTTTGTTAAAGTTTAGATCATTTGAGCGAGAACTGATAATAATATTATATATCAAAATTATGTTAATTTTGGCGGGTGTAACAACAAAATTGTCTAAATCGTGTAACAGTCTGAGATAATTGTTCATCCCACAAAATGTTTACTAGCGAAAAAAACAAAAACAAAAAAACAAACAAACAAACAAAAAAAAACATTAAACAAATTCCATTCTTTTTTCTAGGTTTTCAGATAAAACGTTTAGACATCTTGAAACCATTCTTCGTAAAAACCACTGAAAAACCCTTTGAGTTATTCGGCTAGAATGAGAACATTTTAAAATGATTTTGTGACAACCAAACTATGTCTTCCCAACTGAGCAATGATGACAGGAAACATATTATTCAGGCTTTTGATCATGGTAACAACATTCATACTCTGGCTTTCATCTTCAAAGTTCATTCAAGCACCAACAAGAGAACGGTGAATAAGTTTAAAAAAGAGGGAACAGTAAAAAGGAAAAGTGATTCAGTAGGTCACAACAGCAAGGAGAATCATCATTCCATCTTAGAACTAAATACATTCTTACACACTTATGTAAATTAATTGAAACAACCGTTTTAGTTTCATTTCCTGTTTCAACCCACTGGAGTGACAGGATGTAATCGATTTCTATTTTGTCTCAGATTAGGTCATTTGCAGTGGTGTGCAATAATATGAATCTATTTTCGTGGTATATGATAAATTGTGTTTGGCTTTGAAAAATGTTGCGTCATCCATGATTAAGTCAAATTTTTATCATGCCCAGACACTATTGTCTCGGCTGCCGATTAGTTGCCCTACGGTCATTGTCTGCGATGGACGTTAACACAACAAAGCTTACAGAAATTGTAACATTGCACGAACACACTGGCAAGCCTTAGCAGTGAGCAAATCAAAGTACTATAGACTGACCTGGAAACGTAACTGATTTAAATCCAATCGCGAAACAGTTGTCAATCTGCAAGGAACAACTTCATGGAATGGTCATACAAAATACGAAGTAAATAATAATGGAATGATTCGTTTTTTTTTTCATATTAATTTGCACAAGGAATATTGTTCAAAGTAGAACCCAATAATTTTTATAAAAAAACTGAATAATTTCAGTATGATGTCTTTAATCATTGCTAAGATACAAAGGTTCAGGGATTAATATAACAATTCGACAATTTTGCTGTTACACGATTTGAACAATTTTACTGTTACAGCCAATATATATATATATATATATATATATATATATATATATATATATATATATGTGTGTGTGTGTGTGTGTTTATATATATATATATATATATATATATATATGTGTGTGTGTGTATATAAAGAGAGACAGACAGACAGACATACAGAAAAACAGACAGAGATTAAGATTCTGTGGTTGGGAATAAATAATGATGGGGAAAATAGCGAATTGATGGCTGAAATGTAAACAGAAGATAGTCCGATTTAACTGATCATAATGCGGCCTTTGTTCTTACCCCGTTCCGAGTACTAGCAGTGATATTACTACATAAAGAACCGGTAGAAAGCCACACAAATAGAAGCTAACACAGGGAGAAAAATGTCGTGCTTGGTTAGAAGCAATATAACGTGTAACAGAAAGAATGAAAGTGGAAGGCATAAAATAGAGAAAAGTCGAGGCGACGTGTAAAGAGAAGGAGCGCCCAGATAGGGATGAGTTAAAAAATAAATACATAAATGAATAAATAAATAAATGAATAAATAAATAAAAGAACGAAAAGGTAGAATAATGAGGGCCGGTTGGCACGTGGAGCACACAGAGAACGTGTGGGATCTAGTTGAGGAAGGAAGCCGAAAATGGAAGCTCTAAAGAATATCAGATCAGTCCATGATCGGCATCCGTTAAAAAACCGGCAAAGATCACGAAGTTGATCGCTTTTGATCCGTAGGGAAAGGGCGAAAGGAATCAGGAAGTTGGACTCCAGCGCATTTGTGTGAATGCCGAAGACGGGTGTAAAGACGTTATTTGGGCGTACAGCAATCCTATGAACAGGTTTTCAACTTTGGATCATGGGTGACTGTGCTTTTATGTCCTGATTGTTTTCTTTTCTTGAATTTTACTCTGTCGCTATTTCCCGATTTGGCAACTACTTCGAAATTGTAGTCACTTTTTTTTTTTTATTAACCCTTACTTGTATCGATAGTTTTTCACTCTTATCATAAAATCACTTCATTATTCCTGTATTTCTTTATTGCCCTCATTTATCTTTTTCTTTTATCTTTCCTTCCTTCATTCTTTATTCTTTCTTGCTTTTCTGTCTTTCTTTACATTTTCTTTTATTTTTATTTTTTCATTCTTTCGTCTTTCTTTTTCATTATGTTTGCCTTTTTTCTTTCTTTCACTCATTCATTTGTTTTTCTTTTTTTCATCTTTTATATACTTTTTTTCTTTCTTCCTTACTTTCTTTCTTCATTTTTTTTCTTTTTATTTCCTTCCTTCATATATAATTCTTTATTGCATTTCTCTTTCTTTCGTCTTTCCTTTGTTATATGATTTGTTTTCCTTTCTTTTATTTTTCTTCCTCTTCTCTTTTCCTCATCCTTTTGCTTTCCCTTTTCCTTCTTTCTTCCCCTCATTATTTGCATTTACCTTTTCATCCTTTTCTTTCATTCATTCATTCATTCCTTCTTTCTTTCTTTCTTTCTTTCTTTCTTTCGTCAAGATCCTACAGTCCTGTGCGATTTTTTTAAAAAAAGCTTTCATTGATAGAAAATAAACATCAATCTACATTAATCTTTTTGTCAGACCTTCACTTTTACTATTAAAATATCTTTCTTTTTTTCCTTCTTTCTTTCATTTTTCTCACTTTCTTTCTTTCTTACTTTCTTTCTTTCTTTCTTTCTTCCTTCCTTTCATTTTTTCTTTCTTTTTTTCTTTAAACAATTTAAGTCGTCCATTTGTCTTTCATTTTATCTGTCATTAAAACATATTCCCTATTTCATTATTTTTTTTTTCCGTTCAACCATTAATTTTCTTTTACTTTCGATCACAGTGTTTCATTCTTTCATGATTTCGGTGAATCTGTTTTCTTAAATAACTATTTAAATTAATTTCCTCAACAGTTTTGCCTTTCTTTAATATTACTCTTTTATTTCTTTCTGCCACAAATTTACTGTGTCTTTTTTAATTCTTTTCCAATTTTTGAATTCTTATTCTCTTTTCATTCATTAAATCTACAGCTGCCTGCTTTCTTTATTTCACTTCCTTTTTCTTTGTGTATTCGTTACTTTAATAATTTTCTTACGCTTTCTCTTTTATGTCTAATTTATTTGTTCTTTTCGCTCTTAGTTATTTTTTAAATTCATTCTTACACTCATGTATATGCTTTCTTTCTTTCTTTCTTTTTTCTTTCTTTCTTTCTGTTCTCTGTTTTCATCTTTATTCTCATCATTTTTCTATTTCTCTGCGATCATGTCTTTCAAACGGTCTATGCACATTTTTACATCGTTTTATACTTATCTCTTTTTTTTAAAAAATACATTACACACATTCTCTCGCGCTTTACCCATAGGTAGTTCTTATATCGATTTAACATCGCGTATGTTTTAATTCTGCCTTCTTTTTCTCTCTCAATTTCTACACCTGTCGCTCTTTTCAGCATCCCTCTTCAACTAGCTTTCCGAAGCCAGTTTTTCTTTGTCATAAGCCAAAAAAAAAAAAAAAAAGAAAGAAAAAAAGATGCATTATATTTTATTTCAGTTCTCTCTTTGCTAACCGTGTGCTTGCAATCATTTATCAGAACTCCCTAGTTTTTTGTTCTCGTTTATTCTTTATACTTTTTTGATCGTTTCATTCTTCCGAATTGCATTTCTTTTACACAACTTTAAATGAACAAAGCTCATATGCTTATAAATTGGTGCATAATCTATGTGTGCGTTCGTTTTGAAAAAAAAAGATGAAAAAAAATAAAAATAACTACTTTTAACAGGATTTCAACTAAAAAAATTCATCGAAACCATTCATTCTAGATAGAGAACACCACTTAGCGCCAATGCCACGAGAAAAAAAAAAGGTTCAGTTAAATGTTTCAAGAAAGCCACAATAAAAATCGAGAAAGGTAAACCTTAAAAAGAAGTCGATGTTCCTTGCTTGAATTGTAGCAGATACAACATTCATAGCAAAGGAATTAATTCACAATATCTTTCGCACGGACAGCTATTTGGTTGAAAGGTTTTGAAACTGTTTTATACATTGAAAGAAATGAGTAAGAGAAGAGAAGCTCCGTGAAGGACGAATTATCTTATGTTAAAACTTGAACACCATCAGAAAATACCTACATTCAACACGCCTTTTACTCAAGGGAGACTATCGTGATAATTTTTCTTATTTATTGGCTCAGTAAAGAAGAAAAAAGCGTTTGAATTGTCATCGTTCAAAATTAAGCAATGTACTCATCGGGAGACAGGGAAAAGTAGACGAAAATATCGCATCCATAAACTTATAAATGATCATATGCATACAAACCATACACAAGAATAACGTTGTTGATCTTCAAAAATTATAACACAGTGTCAATCTTTATTTTCTGTCTTCTTGTTGTGACCGAGTACATGTTTAACCCTAGAACACTAACCATGGGTATATAATACCCTGCGCAACTTTTCCTATTTTAATTACAATTTTCAGTACCTGATGTTCTTAAATAATGAGTTTTTCCGTTCCTATTAATGTTAACTCAATGTACAAAGTTTGAAGTGCCTCCATGTAAAATATTTCAAATAAAGATTTATATTTAAGATTTTTTGATATTTTCAAAATCGGGTATGATATACCCATGCTTAGTAGTTGTGTAACTTTAACTGATGGTTAGTGTTCTAGGTTTAAAGAAATACAAAACAACTGTTACAGATATAGCCTATATTAAACAGTAAGTACAACAGAAGAGTATTACACGACTAGTGAGTGTGTGTCGATTGACCAGCGTTCAGTCTATTCGACTGTTATATTTACCAGCCTCCCACGGGGTAGGATATGGCACAAGGCCGAGTTTAATGTGGGGCAATCCGAACCCGTAGGCTCAGCCAAAACTTCACTATAGACCCCGTATATAACCGTATAATCCTCTCTGCCCAGAAGAAGAGAATATGACTAGCACAGCTGGAACAGATCTATTGGACTGTCCTCCTCAAGCCTTCACGCTTACTAATCTTATAGTAGGCGGAAAAGTCCAACATAGTCTCATTAGAGGGAGGACACCACAACGCTTCTTAATTCCTGTTCTTTTATGGTTCTCTCTACTTAATGCTCATTTTTCTCATATTCTTTCACACCCAGTAACCAACTTAAGTATTAGGGTCTTCGTGGGCTTCCTTGATATATATATATATATATATATATATATATATATATATATATATATATATATATATATATATATATATATACGTTCCAAATTAAATGATTAGCGGTGTTCATAATTAAAATTCAAATAAATTTAAAATATCAATATTTTATATGAATTAAAATTTCTCTGTAATGTCATACTTCAGGGAAACCTTGAACTGTCTGTCTAGTTTATCTGATTCCTGAGGTGAGTTACGGCTTCCAATCGCTTAGAATTCCGTTGTTGTTGTTTTTTAGGAAAGCAATAATTATGAAATACAGTAAAATGTTCATATTATTCATAAAAATTTAAAGATGATCAAACGTACAATGGAAAAAGACAAGCCGTATAACTGAAGACGGGCAGCAGTATAAATGGAGATGACCAACCCTATAAGGGACGGCAAGTTTTCAATTTCATTTTAATTTATTTTTAGTAGGGAGAAGTAATTGTTTTAAGCAATTCACCCCCAATGAAGTCGGGAGTGCCACTAGTACGCAAGTGGCTACAGTGAGTGTAAGTAAGGGAAAAGACTGGATATAGAGTGTTTGTGGAAGGAATAAAAAGAAGAACGGACGGGGGATAAAAACAAAAATGGGAATCAAGGCAACAGAATATGTCAATTGACATTACATTTGAATTTTTGAAGTTTATAGTTATCAGGTAAGCAAGTAAGAGAAAAAGAGATTCAATGTCGGGAAGCGCAACCACAAAATCTGTCGGAGTAGAAGAGGCGATCACATTTAATTGTTTCGACAGTAAAAAGGTGGGACAGAGATACCAACCTAGTAGCACGCTTAAATTCATGCTTAAATTCTTGCTTAAATTTTTACACCTTTAATTATTGAAGTTGGCATTCACTAAACTTTTAACCATGCATTTTTAATCGTTAGTTTATTAACAATTTATTTCATATCTTTCTGAGTTTGGCATCAATAGATTGTCATCTGCGTTTCTTAGGTTGTTGAAATTTTATCCATCTGAATTTCTCTGAATATGATTAATTATTATTTACTTTCTTTACATTCGGCCTCTTGTCAGTATCTTTATTGTAATTATTACAGTGTTTCAGCCCTGGTGTCCTCCAACATTCATCCGCATCTGATTTATCCGGATAACATTCTGGGAATTTCGAACAGAAAATGGGTGCGGGGTGGATGTAGATTGTTCTCGTTCTGTTGACCATATCTGGTTGTATCATGTCTAATTCTTAGACTGCTCAGTTATTTGTTCTTTGTTCCCACTCATGCAGCGAGATAGATAAATTCTGGAGTGCTCAAAGGATGACTCGTTGCAATGATAAGAAGTAAGATGAGAACAGTTTGCAATGTATATAAAAATTATATTTGTTCAAAAGAAATTCTTGTGCAACAGATTTTTTTTCTTCTATGTCCCGTGTCCATTCCAGGCCTGGGGACTAAAATAACTGACATTAAATATTAGAAAATAATCAGTATTAAAAATTTCTTAGAAGTCCTAATATTTATATGCTTAACGACAATGCTTATGAGATATGTAATTGTAAATTTACTTTATTAGCAAAATGAGGATAGATGTCTAGTCGTAGATAGATGTCTAGTCGTAGGTGTTAACACAAACTGCTTGAAAGGCAGAATCAAGACAATTTCAATAGAAAGAAAATAACATTTAAAGAAAATATAATAGAACCTAAAGAGCATAAATTAAAAAGCTTCTGGTGATCTATACAGTAACACAAGTGTTGATTATATTGGGAATGTCTTCAAACATTCTTATTATTAGCACACAGATTTCTTTTTAAAACTTATGTTCACCCAATAAAATGCCCAAAAGTCTTTCAAGGTATGAGCACAAGAAAAGAAATGTAGAAAAGATAACGGTTAACCCTAGACATGAAGAGGCCGAGATTGTAGATTGGAAAATATCCTGCCGTGTGTATGTTCCATAAAGCAGCAGTTCTTCGGAATAAGCTGTATGATTGGAACTTACTTCTTACTAATGTAATACGAAGCAAATGAGGCTTGTGTACTCAGAATCAGGGAAAGTCAGCTGGGATTCATTGAAAACCTAATGAGGAAGGAAGGCTTGGAAAACTTAACGCACACTGGTCATATTGAGGGTCAAATAGATAGGGAAGTCAGCGAGCCTCATACATGACGAGCTAGTGTGAATGGAAGACGGAACTGGGAGCGAGGACTTTAGAAAGGGGAGAAAACTGCTAAATGCCACAAAGAATTGCAAGTAGGGAGAGCATTGATCCCATATCCTTTGAAGAGACGCAACAAATAGAAGTACGGGGCTGGTAGAATCAATCGATTTATCTCGGCAAAACATATGTCATAGAAATAACGATAGACTAGCGAGAGTCTTGGGAGATTTCGTCAGTGGGAAAGAGGTTGTTGGGTGGAAAATAATCAGTTAGCTACAAGACCGCGTAGACAATTTTGAACTCTAACAAGAAAGGCAAGTGAACACTGGGCAGCTCTAATTCACATATAGCATCAATCTAATCTGGATCTTGTAAAGATAGAGAATATCTGAATTCAGGTACTTACTGAAGCGTTAAAATGAACGGACCATTTATCCAGTATATTTTGCGGTCGATCCTATATACGGCTTCCACTTGAGGTCTGGGGTGAGCTGGGGCCTCAAGAGACGTTCAAGTCAAGGCACTTCCTGTTGACCATGTTCAGCATAGTGTATGAACATAGAATACAGCGTAGTACGTAACCTGTTCAATGAAACAAAGTTAAATATTAACACTAACGAGTCAGACACTCTATTGAATCTGACTATATCGCCAATACCTCCAGCAGCTGTTACGTAAATCTTCAGTCTTCGATATCAGTGTCTGGCAGTGCATATTCGGGAAAAACATGGCCGCCTTTATACCCGCCGCATTGAATATTTTGAGCCTTCTGATTGGTTAACCCTTCTATTGGTGAACTATAAAATGAGTCAGCTCATTTTGGCTGACTCACTAGTACACCAGGGTACCCAAAAATTCCAACACTTCCTTATATAAACATCTATAAATATTACCTTTTCCAAAATTAGGGTCTTTTATTGACGGACGTTGCTTTGTTGGCAAAACATAGCGGTTATGCCTACTGATGCCCATTGTAATTTAAACGTTGTCCCATGTACATGCACGGAAGCTAACTGCAGGT